TCGCTAAGCCAGGATTAGTAAAGCAAGTTGAATACGGTTTGGCATGCATACAGTTGTGTCAAAGCCCGAGCCATTCCCATATTCCCGGCACTCCATCTCGGAGGGCAGAAAGGGGCGTTGCGGTGGGGGCTGTATTTCCGTGCAGACTCTCCTCCCTCATACATTCGCCTTTCTCCCTCGTGGGTCTGGACCCCTGCAGCCGTCGCCGTGCTCGTAGCTACGCGTGAATGCCTCCTTTGGCTTTCTGATATCGACTGTATGTTGACAGAGGCATTCAGGCTTAGAACTGTATCTTGCGAAATACGCTGTGCTGTACACTTGTTCGCTGCAGATGCTGGGGTATGTCAGGGAGGAGGGCCAGCCCATTTTCCATCAGTTGTGGTCGTCTGCCAGCCTCCATAACTGGTGTAGAATGGGTTGGCGCCGTGCCAGACTCAGCCCATCTGACATATGTCAGCATCGACAGCGAACAAGGCTGTCATGGGTGCGTTATACCCCAAAGGCAGGGCAACATTTTTGAAATTTTGGTTGTTTTTTACTGAAACCTCTGTTTTGTTTTCAAGATCTTTCGTGAGGTAGCATTTTTCTTTGAAAAGATATTTTGCATTAGAATACCTCCAGTGGAACTGTAGAGTCGTGCACTTCGATGGGTGGCCCGCACAATTCAATGCAAACCGTCGATCGTGTTATTTCGCTCGAGTTGACCTCAATTTATGGCGCTACACATCGATCGCTGCGGCTGACCGATTCTCAGTCAGTGCTGTCTCGCATGCTGGCTGTTACACATACAGTAAATTTTAAGTTTCGGGCAAATCTAATGTCCTGCTAAGGAGAAGCAGCGCAGTCATGACATTTCTGCGACTCCTCTTTTCAAACCAGCTGGTCTTCTTTCGCTTAATGAATTTTATTTTAGGTATAAGTTGGACAATAAATCTGAATCAACGTAAATAGGTGAAATCTCGCTAGTGCTGGTGGTTTAATAGGGTAGTGAACGTTTGTGCCAATGCACTTTTTTCCCGCATCTCTTCTCATCATGGGGGGCAGAGTCGCCTGCGGTGTGACCCCACTTAATTGCTGGCTCGCTGCCTTCTGACCTCTCATCGATACTACGCTGTTCAGCCACCTATAACATGTTTATAACAGGCACAGCTTGAAACAAGATATGTATAAAGAAGTTGGTGAGACAATGAAAGTAATTAAGGTTTCAAACCATATGATTAAAATGTTAAAAATAAGCAAGGTGGAGACCCCTTTCTCAACTTGAATAGAAAGCTTGCCCTTAGATTGCGGTTGGATAGAGATATAATATATAATAGAGATTACCTGCCTCAAGCAGGTCAATTTCCGTAGAATGGGAGCGCGTCATGGGCGCTTTTTGATTGTCCTAGATGTGACCTTTTGATTATCCTAGATGTGATAAAAAAGTGATATTGTGATATTTCATTTTTTACTTAACATGTGAGATTCTCAGACAGAATTTTTCGTTTCTGCTTACAGGTTCAAAGAATGTTACCGAAACGGGTGAGTGAAAGTCAGATAGAAGAATATTGTGTGAAGATGTCAAGATTTGTAACCAACACAACAATTTAAGAACTGCCTCATGTATTATAAAAGCTGAAAGCTGTTCATATTTTTTTCATATTGTATTTGAAGGAAGCATAATAATAACTATTTTACTAATAAAGTTACCTAAGGCTTTGGCGTGAAGCAATTTGAGGGAAGGTCTCTACTATGTTTTTTTAAACTCTTATTTCATCGGTTTGAAACTCAATATTCATTTGGTGTGAGTTATACTTCACATTTCTATATTCCTATTCTTCGAGTAGTGTTATAACATGTTATTATAATTGAGTGAACAGCGTAATCGATGAGAGGTCAGAAGGCAGCGAGCCAGCAATTAAGTGAGGTCACACCGCAGGCGACTCTGCCACCATGGGAGGAGAGGTGCGAAAAAAGTGCATTGCACAAACGTCCTACACCCGGTTCAATATAGGTTACATTATTGCCCGACAAAAGCCTACTCTACCCGTTCGTCTCTCGTCCTTAGATAAAGTAAATGGGAAAAGGGCAAATCGTTGTTGAGGATCCCAACAGGGGGTCCTATTTGGTCGCGGGGAGAGGGAGTCGTATTTGGGCTGGGAATATTTTTTTCGATAGTTGATTTTTCTAGATTCAAGGGCGTTGTAAAGAGGGTCGTATCTGCTCGTTGTTGGGAGGAGGTTGTATGAAGAAGACTAAGAAAAATTTTTTGGTAGTTGATTTTTCTTGTTTCGGGGACGTTGCAAAGGGGCGGGGTTTCGTCTGCGTGCTGGGAGGGAGGGGGGGGTCGTATCCCCCTTCTGGCCTTCGAAGGAAGGGTTGCTGACCTTTCCCCCTCCATCCCTGCTCCCTGCGACGCTCAGAGTTCGATTTTTGCCCGGGCAACCAATCCTTCCATCTCTCCGGGGCGGTAGGCTAGTAGGAGGACATTGACATGTTCCAAGACTGGTGGCTGCACACCACTGCAAACCCAGAAATTGCATATATTGCCCCTACGACTTCAAATGGAATAAGAATGCGTGAATGCTTGAGAAACAGATTGATCAGCGAGGAGAGGTTTGTCCTCTGAAATCCTCTTTATTTCATCAAGGCATACTTTTTATGATTTCGGCAACCGATTAGTGAACTGCGCTCTGTAGATGAGACGTGACGAAACCTCATAGTGACCTTCAACTTTGAACTTTTTTCCTCTTAAAAGTTTTTTTGTTCCTGTTTGTCCTTGGAATCGATGAACTGGTTGCCTATGTACCTTACGTTCTCTCCGCCATTCATCGATACTCCTCCGAAAATTTCTTCGGAACTGCCTGTTTGCCATGGAGTGATATTCTAGTATCGACGCCGTTTTCCTGCTCTTGTTGCCCTCTCATGGCTAATTCTCTTTCCAGCAGTGACCAGGATCTCCTTTTCTCCTGTTTAAACTAGTCCTCTGTTCTGATCAAGAGACGCCGTACATTGGGAATTCCTAGCTAGGGGGGTCGTACCTGCCTCAGAGAAAAATGTTTGCTCTTGCTGACTTTCTTTTTACTTTCACATTTTTATTTACAGTACGGTAGCTGACATGAGAAAAGGGGTCATATCAGAGGAAGGAATCTGGAAGGGGGTAGTATTTTGCAAAAATTTTCCCCAAATGCACTACGTGCTTTGATTCTAACATTCGACGCGCTTGACTTTTTTCTTTCATCGATTTCGTCTGCATTATATTCCCGTTACTGCTCTATTTTCGCAATTTAGTCCAGATTTTGATCGGAGTCCCCCCCCCCCCCCGAGTAGAGGTATCGGGTGAAATTGACTGAAATTTAGGGTCCTGGGTAGTTCGAACCGCTTGCCAGGAAAATGCCTATTACTCACGCTGGAAGCGTGTTCTGATAGCGCATCGGGCGTTTTCGCTGCAAGCAGACTCAGCATTTGTTTTCAGCGAGTCAAATACGCCCCGGCAATGTTTTGTCAAATCTACCAGTAAAAAAATTTCGATAAAAATAGGCCTGAACTCCAATGAATGGAACAGCAATGGGTAAATAGTGTGCCGTAGCTCTTTCTGTTGAGCCGCTCACTCCAGAAACTTCCACACCTCCTTTTGTGTAGGCCCGTGGAGTAATGTGGAAATAGAAGGCGTGATTCATCCCAAACCAGGTGAATAACTCCAAGTTTTTTTCATGCCTATTGCTAAATAAGTCATTCCAAGGATGGTAGTGAAGTGGTCGTTCATAATGAGATGTATACAGGTTGATGTTTGGTTTGATAGTGATTATGAATCGGTCCTCGTATTTCCTGCGGACCTTTCTGAATAAAGTTGCGGAGTTTTTTCTAGAAGGAACATGTATATCGTTTGCCGAAGGATGTAGATGTGTAGAAAAAATGGCTACAGCGTAGGTCAGAGGGGATTTTACGTGGTATGCGAAAGCTCGTGCATTAATTTTCGCCGTTTTATGCATTGATTTCCGACAAGGATAAGAATTACGATAGGATGGGCCTAGGAATACGTTGGTGAAATATAAATGCTCCCTTCGCTGCTTGAGCATTCTTTTTGGATTTCCATACCTTTTACAAACGCTTGAGATTCTCCCATGCAAAGCTGGAGAGGTTGGCTAGATTATTAAAAGCAGAGTCCACGCAGATTTTTTGGGCGGAGACCGTCAGTTTTTCTGCCTCCCTCATTGACGCACACTCCTTCCAATACGGTGAAGAGGAGGGGTCGCAGGAGTGAGAAAGGCTCAGTAGTTGTCTGTTTCTGCCATGCTGTGCTGAGCTCAAATTTAAACTTCATCCCGCATGTATTTGTATTAAAGCTCTAGTGATGACTCTATCCTTACAGGGGCAAGGGTGTCAAGACACTGGGCTGCCTTAGAGGTTGCTCCAACTCCTCTTATCCTGAAACCACGGCATCTTTCGATACTTCTGTTTCTATATGACGGAAGGGTTGAGTTAAGGCAAAGGTCGAATAAAGTTGTCCTCCTAACAGCCTCGTCGCAGAAGTATAGATACCGAAAATTTTCGAGCAGGGCTGCGTTTTGTCATATACAGTTGATGTTGTCGCAATCAGTCGGGGGTGGGGGGGTCGTCTTGAGCTATGAGTGAGCCCATCCTCGGAGTTCTTTACCACGGGTTCCTTGTCCTGAATCAATCACTGACCGGTTACTATTGGTAGAAAACGCAGCCGTGGTGTGCTCATTCTACCCTTCCTGGCACCACTTTGACTGATTGCGACGATGTCATTTGTATCTATGGCCTGCCACCTTGGTCGTACCTGCTACTCATCTCTCACTTCCATAGATCCCTTCAATCATTTTTCTTCAAAGATATGACCGACTCGTCGTGCACTGCTCTTCTCTTCAAATCATATTGTGTTATGAAACATTCCTGTTGGTTTTTAGGGATTGAACTTCTTTCTATTCTCTAGCAGCTCTGAACTGCAAGTTCCTGTCACGCTATGTCAGACGAGGAACAATACGAGGACGAAGAATATGGAGGTGATTATTCTCTGCGAATGTTTTCTCCTTTTTCTGTTCGTTTGATAACGAGGGCAGGTCGTACGCTGGGCATCCCTAGCGAGGGGTATTGGTCGTATTTGGTCAGCTGGAGGAAGGGCAAGTCGTACTACTTTCGGGAAAATGTTTTCGGTTGTTGACTTCTCTCGAGTTTTCACGTTCCACGTGCTCCACATACTCTTTCCCCTCCTCCTCCCTCACCCCCACCCCTCGACTCGCAATTTTTTTTGGGTAAAAACTGGCGAGTTTCTGAAGAAAGAGAAGATTGAGACGATCCGGATGTGGTTAGAATTGGGGACGATGGAGAGGCGGTCCGTGCCAGTCCAAGCAGGACGAAGTTCTGAGAGGGGGATGAACGTTGAGTTGCAAAATTTTGCCCCTATGGAGGTTTGTTTTCTAGCTTCCTGAAAACCAATATGGAAGAAGGTGGCGATTATTACAACGAGGAACCCCAAGAAGAAGAAGATGGTTACTACAACGAGGAAGCTCAGGATGGCGATGGTTAGTCCGTCATGAATTCAGCTCAGAATTTAATGAGACAGCCATTAAATGGTCCTCCATGGTAGTAGTTGGCGGCGTTTTTCATAGTTATCATGTAGTTGTCCCGTTGCGCCACGCCCAGTTATGTTTGCCCCCTCTTTGATGTGTTGTCGTAAAGTTTTTACAAATAAGTGAAGGCAGTTGGATGTTTCAGCCACACCCATAGCCTGTACTCGCCTGAGCGTTGAGAGGAGGTGAACAGGCAGAAAAGGGGTTGCCGCTGGCCCTATGCACCACAGCATGCCCTCATAGTAAGTTTAATTATAACTCAGCTTCGCCCTCATTTCAGCAGAGAAGATATAACTATGATGATAATCACGAGGAAGGTCATGAAGAGACCGAAGAACCAGAATATGAAGACCATACAGAGCCTGAACCCGAGCCAGAGGAAGCACCTGAAAACAATGAGGTGATTGAACCGGAAAAGCAAGACGACGATGACTATGGAGCGGTGAGTTCCTGTGAAGATTCACTAGACTTTAGTGTAGTCTTTTCTCCAATCTGAATTCGGTAATTCAACTTTCTTGGATTTCTCAAACATTTGTGGATTTTCTTTTTTCGAGGACACATTGCGCGATGACCGCTTGGGCGGGGACTTGAGAACTTTGCACTTTCGTCACTGATGCGCTTGTATTGAAGAGGACCGCACCAGTGAGATTGGTATGGTAATTATGTGCCTCTTCACGTCAGACCATTGTTGAATGTGTCTTTGCGGTCAATGCGGTAGAGCGTCACTGTACGAGACTCGCCCAGCGATGATCGTCCTGCGATGAAGCTAAAATTATTCAACGATGAAAAACTATCTGTTCAGGAAGAGCAGGTAGAGAGTCATGAAACAAATGCTGAAGATTCGAATGCAGCAGGAGATAGTGGCGGCGGTGGCGGATTCGGCAGTCTCGTGAAAGGTGCGATTCTACGTATTAAGTTCAATTTCAGCTTTAGCTTTTTTTGGCTATAGCTTTGTACACGGGTTGCGCGAACCACTGGCGATTCATAACACATATATGAAAAATGCAATGCTTAAAGGCAGCGCCCGCGTTCATTTGATGTTCCTACGCCCTCCTTAGATATCGTAGCTTTGTCGACAAGGGTGGAGGATGTACTAATTTCGCAGCTCAAAAATACGAGAGGATGGCGCCACCCGCTTGTGAAGAGGATGCCGCCCCGCCCACCTGGCTGCCATAACTGCTTTGGCTTAGCCTTTAAAGGCTGAGCCCGCTTTCAAGAATAATGAGTTATGGAGCTCATATAATACGTGATCCAGTAGTGAAGAAAAAAAGCAGAAAAAATCATGGAAAATGCCCTATATAGAACCCTATGCTGGCCAGGTGGGCGGGGCGGCCGACTCTTCACTAGCGAACGGCGCTATCCTCTCGCCTTTTTGAGATGCAAAACTAGTACATACTGCATCCTCATAGGGAGGGCTATGATATCCAGAGAGGGCGCGGGAACATCAAATGAACGTGGGCGCTGCCTGTAAAATGCACATTTCGCGCGGGAGGGCGGAGACTCATAATTACTCGTCCTTCCCGCTCATTATTCTGGAGATCAATGTACTAGTGACGAGAGCTCAATGTTGTTTGTCTTTACCTATCAGGTCATCACGAAATGGTCCTTCAAACTTGTAAAGCCCTAGAGAAGCAGTCGACGCATATCGTATAATCCGAGACAACCCATTTCACCTACAATCACATCGCTGCTGACCCTGAGGCGTGTCAAGAGGGCCGAGTTGGTTTGGGCAGCGCCATCCCCTTTTCCACTAGTTGTTAAAGCAAGCAAGCGATAACAGTATAATAGATGGGAAACAACTTGGTGTCGCGCCAAATTCAGCCTATCTGTCACGCCCCTTTCTAGCCTCAGATATGTACGGTGCAACTAAATGTTCTATGGAATGTTCACGATCTCACAGTCCCAATATCGCCGCCCTCTTGCGCTCAGCCGCATCCCATTTTGCGGTGCTTACGAATTCGTATAGCCAGTCTCTAGTGTGAATATCGTGCCGGTCCGGCAATGAAGTTTGACCGCTACAGCTGCCTAAGCGAAGTTTCAAAGTGCTTTAGCAATATATCAATGTTGAAGACTGTCCGCTAAAAAAGGCTTTTTACAGGAGCGTTAGATGGCTTTGGTAGTTCTAACATTGGAGATATTGTTGGATCCATCAGTCAGATCGCTGGAGGAGAAGGTGGTGCGTTGGTATAGTTTAGCGCTCTTGGTAGCTTCATTGATCAGTTCTGGAGAGGAAAGAATTGTCCTGAGCAACGTATATACTTCCATCAGAACGAATTTATGCTCCAATTATTAACAGGTCTCACAACTATAATGTCTTCTGGTGGTTATGAACTGACTGTTTTTTGGGGTGGAGAAGATGCTTGAGTGAAGAGTCACTAGATTCCATCGGATCAACTCGTAACCTAGTTCGAATCAATCCAGTACGATCTTTCCTTATCACGACGTGTTCATCAACCTTTGAGATCTACCTCGTGGTCACGTTCCACGCTGATCATGTGGGCGGGGTTAGGCCTACCGTTGTGCTCCCTTCGTTAGCGCGCCCTCCTTTACACACGATTACAGAGGGGGGGGGGCAATCGTCAACGATAAAGGCACAATGGTAGCCCCGATTGCGGTCGTTTGATCAGCGTGGAATGTGCTTTTTCGAGAACTTTTGATTTTAGGAAACTGGTGCGATTATTGGTGCGATAGCTGGTAACCTCATTTTCAATATGGGTGGGCGTGGCAACTCACTCACTAGCATTGGAAAAGTGATCTTGGACAACATTATCAGTGGAAAGTACAAACGAGATGTAAGTCCTTTTCTGAAGTCCACTGTTCAAAAAACTAAACAAGATGGGCACATGTATCCTTCTTATCCTTCCAATTTTTTAGCGCTACAGGGTCCTTCCATTCTTTGTACTGTAGGTTTTCGAAGCTGCACATTGTACAGAGTGCACTGGTCTGCGCCCCTGCAGCTTGACATCTCTCCATTATCAGTGCTTGAAGGCATATTCCATGATGGCCGGACTGACAGAGAAGTGGGCGGAGACCCCCAGCCGTTGCGTTGATGTCTCACTCTTCGCCCTGTTAAGAGGGGCGGTTGGTATTAATGAGAAGTGCACAATGGTTGTCTCCGCCCATTTTTTTCGTTCATTCAACTGTTTTGGAATGTGTATTTAAGGCCACAATTCAGGATTGCCAGCTGCTGTGTGTACAAGCCAACCTATCTGTCTTTCCCAAAAACTTATGTATTAGTTATCAGGCACTGGAGAGATGCAAGGCTTGTGTGGGCCGTTGATTCTGAATTCAACTCAGAATCAACGGCCCACACAAGCCTTGCAGT